ATTGGTATGAAATATTCAAGATACTTCTTCCAATAACCTTCAGGAAAATCAGACCAATACGACACAGACAGAAGCGTAATATAAGCAACGCTAACTAGAAAATCTAAACACAGAATGTTTAGACCTATCTTTGACACATTAGCAACAAGTAAAGACTGTTAAAGAATTGTCCACCTTCCAACTTTGTTTAAAAACAAACCTTTCTGGAAAACACACAAAGCCGGTATTCTAGAGAATAATTTCATGGTTCCCTCAAATCAAGAGGCAAGACAAAGGTCAAGTGGCACCCACAAAAATGTTAAACTGAAAGTAAAGTGAATGACTAATGAGAAACTGACATTCTGGGCATTTTTTAATGACCCCTCCCCATCCTCTCCATAATGAATCACAAGTTGGAGCCAAACGTTTCTGGCATCAAAACTATAAACTCAATACATTCATTCATATACAATATTAAATTTCAGTCTCTCAACGCAGCTAAAGGTTGGAGCATCTCTCTCTGTACACCAGTGGGAAGAGGGTGAGGAAAAGCTCAGTTTTAGACATTTTTACTGTTTTGTGTCATTTTTTTTTTTTTTTTTTTTTTTGTATGTTTGCACAAAGATTTTATAGCAACTGCTACTTAAATAAAGCTGGTTTGGAAATTATGCCTGACCAGTGAAAGTGCTCTTGTTAACACTGGTAAATTTAAAAAGATGAATTTGGTCATGGGATTTAACACCAAATCAATTCTGAGAGAAAGCTATTAGAGAAAATAAGAATGCTCAGATACTTATCTCAAATCAACTAGATTTAAGATAAGATAGTGAATCATTAAGTCCATAGCCTACAATTTTGTTATTAGTTGAATTTTGCTTTGAAATTTCCACTGTATAATGTTCAATCTGTTATTAATATTCACTACTGAATTAAGTGCATTGACAAGAAAGGTAAAATAAATTACTTTTTTCATTATTAAGCTATTCTTAGGTGCCTAATACAAATGTTGGTTAAATAATTAAAAGGTTTGAAATTTTTCTCAAAATACAATATACAGTAGTCTTAATAATCTAGATGTGAGTAGAACCCTGCTGCCACCAAAAAAAAAATTAAAATTAAAAAAAAAAAACAAACTAAAAACTAAATATCTCTTACTTCTGTTAGACAGCTAAGAGTGTGTATTTTGATATGCCTGTATATGCTAGGTAACTCCACATTTTGGCATAAATTTTCAATACCTAAGGTTTAAAATTAATTTTTAAAAAATGAAAAAGCATTCTTGAAGATTTCATTTAAGCTATAATTGAAAGCTAAAGGATTAAATTTATTATTTCTAGGAAGTAAAATATTCTGGTGTATTTCAGATAGAAATTATATAGATTGGAATGTCAAATTTAATTGATTTTTAAAGATTTTCTTAAAAGTGGCCATTTTCTTAATTTTAAGGAACAAAACAAATTTATCGATTTTAAAATTCTTTCAAAAAAAAAAAAAAAATTATATTTCTGACACATTATTTGAGTAAGATTAGAAAATTTAAAGTTAAATTAATCTGATTTGAAATAAATATTACTTATAACATAAAAAAGTAATATACAACCATTTGTTATTCATTGGCCCTGTTTATTTAAAGTGATGATTGATGGATGATTGAGTGACAAAGTGATGGCAACTAGTATGGATGGCTAGAATTGATACAAAATTTAAGAAATCTAATTGAACACATTTTTGGGGTTTTTTAACTACCTTATAATTTTTACAAATGAACATATTTTCCACAATTATCTAATAATTTATTGACTTTTATTTACCTTTCAAAGATTCTTTATGCAAAAACAAAAAAAATTTTAAATACTATAAAATTTTCTTAAATTAATTTCTCTGTAACAAGACAAAACTCTTAGATCATGTGACCTTTTTATAATAATGTCACATTTAGCCTTTCATAGACGAAAAAAGGGAACAAATTAAGTAAAAAATTTAAAATTATTTTAAAAATAGAATAGTGTAACTACGTTTATTAATCTTTTCAAGTTTGGATTTGTAAATTTCGTTTCCACTTAATTATTATATCACACCCAGGAAATAGTCGAGTACAGAATTTTACACAATTTTAAACTATTATAAATTATTATAATTAAAAAAAATTTTTTAAATCCTTGTAAAACTTCATTATTCATTGAAAAAATTTTATTTCTTCAGACAATAGTGTCCTTAATATAACTTGTTTACAAAAGCAATTAAAAGCTTTTCTAATTAAATAATGTCATAGTTTTATTGCATTCATTATTTTTCAATGCAAAGCAGATTTGCAGTTAGAATAGTGCAAGTTTGAAAAAAAAAAATTAGGTGATTTACATTTTCCAAGGAGTCCTACTTTTAACAAATAAAAAAAATTAAGAAAACAGAAAGGTTTTTTGCAAAATTTCATGAAATTAAGTGGGGAAAAAAAAAAAAATTTTTAACCAAAATTTTCTTAAAAAAATAAAATAAAAAAATTCCAAAATAATTCCATTCATTTGTGAATAAATCCTGAAAATTTCATTTAAATTGGACAATTATTTGATTTTTACAAGAATTTCTAAATCAATGTGTTTTCAATAGAAAAAAGCACAAAAAAGTCAATGTAATTATTATGCTACTGTGATGACGTAAACAAAACAAGGTTTTAACCAAAATTTTGAACGTGTTAGAAAGGATTAAAAAATTTAAAAAAATAATAAAAAAAATACATTGGTCTTTCATCTTAATAATAATAATAATAAATATTTTGACAATAATTTTTTTTATCAACTTTGTGGCTTTTCCTTACACTATGCTGTTTCCCGCAAAATAGTGGAGGCACCTAGTATATGCATTCTCTGGTTGAAGCAGGCATGAGTAAGATGTATACTCCTTGGTCACATGATTCATAACATTGACTTGGTCACACTGTTTTTTTTTATACATAATGCTTTCATTGAATTGCCATATCACTGAATATGAGAAACCAATCCTTTGATCATGTCATCCATGACACTGTGGTCAACCAACATTACTGAATATATTACAAATGCTAATATGCAATTTTAGTACCAAGTTTGATGGCAACTGTTCTGATGGTTTTTTTTTTTCTTAGTGACTTGACTGCATGGAATTAAGAGTGCTACTAGATTGTCAACTAGGTTTTACTATTGAACTAACGAAATGCAACAGTCTTTTCTATTCTAACAGTTTCTTTTCTTGCACTTTTGGCATGGAGAACTCCCTTCCAATTTCTTGATTCTCTGCCACCTGTAATCTTCAAAAATTTAAATGCAATGTTAAATGTCATCTTTTGTCTTCCTGAAATCATGTTCCTTTATTGTCCTTTCCTCACTTCTCCTAAGTCTTCTCATTCTATTTCACTCCCTATAACCCCTGTCTGTCTTAGTGGCATCATCGTGTGTTTGGGGTGAAGTGATTAAAAAAAAAAGAAAAAGAAAAAGAAAAGTGCACTAAGAAGAAAAGGGATTATGTTGAAAAATAAATGCTTTTTTTTCTTCTATAGACCGTGGGCTTTTTAATGTATTCATATATATTTCACTAAAATATTTAATATTTTTTTCCTAAAGAATAGAAATGAATCTGATGTTTAGCCATTACATGTTTCTTCACTTAATTTCTATTTCAAAATTTTGGGGAAAGGTGCTGACTAGACATACTCGGGAATGCATTTTAAGGTGTTAATTAATCTATCATACTTTTCTGTTTGATATGACTTTATTATATTTATATATATTAATAAATTATGAAAATAAAATATGATCTATTAATTAAAAGCATAACTCATATATTACTCAATATGGTTAGAATCTATAGGGTGCAATAGGTAAATTGTTGCCATATTATATTTATAATTTTGTGCATGTGCATTGTTTGTTTTTGATTTTGTCAACTGTACAAGGTCAGTTGGGCACCATCTGTGAGAAAAAGAGCACCATGACTCAATTCACTTCACCAGAAATTTGGAAATGGCATGCTGTACTGCTTGGCATTTGCACTGGAAGTTCCAATACAAAAGTTGGACGGTGTTTGAGTGTTAATGTGAGGACAGTGCAAAGGATTTGGAAAGAGTTGGATGAGTCTAATGGTGATTACGAAGGTATGGCAGCTTGGAAAACTCACTGATCATTCTGATAAAAAAATGAACTCCCAAATTTGTTGGTGAAAGCCTCAGACTCAACACAGAGGCCTACATCAAGTACCTTTAGGAGGTAGTGCTGCCCTGGGTCAAGAAGGTGGCTGGAAAACCCTATGCCTGATAACAGGGCTCTGCACCATACCATACAAGCAGGAGAATTCCAGTCATGGCTGTTAGACAATTTCTACAACCACATTACCCCTTACATCTGGCTACTTAACTCCCCAGACTGCAAGCACTTTGACTTTTTTTGTGTCAGGTGCAGTTGAGCGAGAGGCCAACAAAACTCCTTGTGACACCAAAGATGAACTGAAGGCAAGAATTAAGGCGGCATTCAACAAGAACAAAAGAGTTGCAGGAGATTCCAAAGTTGTCTGGAGACTGTGGTTGAAGCTAATGGTGATTTTATTGAATAAATTTACTTTGCTCTTTAGTATTTCAAAATATCTTTGTGTAAGTTTGGTGTATATATCTGTTAAAATGAGATGTCAGTGTTATTTTCATTTTTGCATAATCTAGACGACAATTCATCCATTGCAATTGTAGTTGTTATCAGTTTTCTATAGGCTCATTTTATCCATTAAAATTTGAATGCTATATATTTCACTAAAATATTTAATATTTTTTTCCTAAAGAATAGAAATGAATCTGATGTTTAGCCATTACATGTTTCTTCACTTAATTTCTATTTCAAAATTTTGGGGAAAGGTGCTGACTAGACATACTCGGGAATGCATTTTAAGGTGTTAATTAATCTATCATACTTTTCTGTTTGATATGACTTTATTATATTTATATATATTAATAAATTATGAAAATAAAAAATATTGTCTTTTATTAAGAATGAAGGGAGAAAAATTTATAAAATAAGAAAAAAGAAAAGAAAAAAGAAAAGAAAAAAGAAAAAAGAAAAAAGAAAAAGGAAAAGAAAAAAGAAAAAGAAAAAAGAAAAAGAAAAAAGGAAAAGGAAAAAGAAAAAGGAAAAAGGAAAAAGAAAAAGGAAAAGGAAAAAGGAAAAAGGAAAAAGGAAAAAGGAAAAAGAAAAAAGAAAAGGAAAAAGAAAAAAGAAAAAGGAAAGAAAAGGAAAAAGAAAAGGAAAAAAGTAAAAGAAAAGAAAAAAAGAAACTCAAAATATAAACAAACTTTAGCTTTATTTATATTCATCCTATTGTCCTCATCTTTGTTGTTGTTATCCCAATGTTTCAGGCAAAACATTTTGATAACAATAACAAAGACATTAGTCTGAATGTAATTTTGATAAATAATAACTCCTCATCCCAGAAATTCAGACAAACTTTATCTTGTGAGCAAAACTGCGTATTTGCAATCTTGCTCTTTCAAATAAGGTTTGTTTTTTAAGCTGACTAAAAATTTCTGAAAACATGTACTTGTGTATGAAACAAGCCTCCTTTTAGTTTAATTTTAATTCTAAATTTGTCGCATTATACATAAGAAAATACAGTAGTTGTAAAATATTCTTTTTAATTAAAGAAAAAAAAGTAATACAATCTTTTCCTGGCTTGGTAAGTAACTACATTCTACTTCTACTAATGTATCAATAATACAGAGAAAATCTGACTAATGTGCATCAGAGAAGAAGCAGAGGAACATAGTTACTTTTACTCTACTGCATTACCATCAATAACTCTTGAGGTTCCTGCTTGTCTAACAAAGCATAGCAAAAAAGAAAGAAATATAGACTATCAGTAATTACAAATATACATCATAACAATTATAAGAATAATTTTTCAATTAGTAGAGAAATACGCTTGGCAGTAAAGCCTGGCATCAGTCTAAACTAAAGAAAACCAAAAAAGGATCTGATTGTCACCAGACACTGATTGATTTTAAAAATTATCATTATGATACAAGACACTGGTGTAGTATTACTCGACGGCTGTCAGGATTTGGCCTCTGTTTTATATCACCCACTGTAGACCCTTTCTTCCACCCAACTCCTTCGATTACTGCAAATACTATGCATTTTTTTCTCCAAATTTTTTTAATGCTGTATAAGCTGATGGGTAAAGCCAAGGAATTAGTACACTGGACAGTATGATAAAGAGGCTTCCAAAAGTAATTCTAAGAATCAAACAGGTCAAGCTAATTACCACAAAATATTCTTATAGAAAACTATCACAAATATTTTACCAATAACCTAAAATTGTAGTCCAGAAACTATATAATACTAAAAAAAAAAAAAAAAAGAAGAGAGAGAGAGAGAGTATCATACCCAGAGTACCCCCTCAAAGTACTCCTCTTTGAATCAAACTTGCCTCTTCTACTTTTTTTTTTAAATGATCTGTAATGTCTTGTTTAATGATCATCATCTGCCACAAGTCTCCTTAATCTCGTCCACAATATAAAATACATTCACTATTGATGAATTCAAAGGCAACCAAATCTGGAATGACCTAGGTAATGTGATGCTTTGCAAAAAAAAAAAAAAAAAAGTTTTTTTTTTTGTTTTTTTTAATTGCAATGTGAAGGATTGACAATTGTAATATTCAAAATAGCGGAACATTTTGTGCAGAGTCAGTTGAATTGGTAGATCTTCTAACTTTAACATTGTTAATTGCTGATTTCCTTTGATTACAGCTCTTTATATTTTCAAATGTTCTGCATCTTGGATCTCTCTTGTCAGTTTGTCATTTTATAAATTTACTGAACCTCTTTCTCTCTCTGTCTCTTTGTTTATATATATATATATATATATATATATATATATATTATATATATTTATTTTTACCCTTTTTTTACCCATGTTGCTGTTTACATTGTCAATCTTTTCTAATTCCTCCTCAGGGTTATTGTCATCTGACAATCACTTAGTATGAAATTCATAAAAGCAATTTAAATGAGTTCTTGACTGCTGTTTGGTCTGTTAGTGTTACTGCTCTGGCTCAGTTTAATTTCTGAAGGCATTGAGCACTTTAGGTTTTTGTGTAGGTAGATATCTGTTTTTTTATACTTCTTTTTCTTTTTCCTTTAGTCTTTCCATGTTTTTTTTTCCTTTGGCAGTGTTATTGTTGGCATGGTTGCTTTTGGAGGCTTTACCAATAGTGCTGTTTGGTTTGGTGTATATATATTTCTAAATAATTAATGAATTTATTTTTAATCTGACATTTTTATTATTTCAAATGTTATTATAGAGGACATCTCTTAAAATAGATACCCCATTTTTATTTATTTATTAAACAGTGTGTATTATGTCTATTGGCTTGCCTGCACATTTGAGAAAATAGAAAATGTCTCCTATGACAAGGATTGACCTACTGTTTGATTTAGCATGCTTTACCACTCAGCTATAAACGATTGCAAAGACCTTTTTATGACCCAATTTAAGGAAAGTGCATTCACTTCAATCTAAATCCTATTTTTCTGGAGAATCCATATCTGCTTAGGTTCATATCCAAAACATAAAGAAGTAATTTCTAAAGAATTAATAAATTTATTTTTAATCCACCATTTTTATTACTTCAAATGTTATTATAGTGGATACTTATTTGAAATAGATGCCCCATTTTTATTTATATCTGAATAGCAGTTTTATTTTTAGGAAAGGTCTTAAATTGCATGGCGCCAAATGGATGTTGGTGGTGATGACAGACCTGGATTATATGATGTATTGCCAAAAATCCTTTGAAACATGAAGATTAGAGAGTCCAAGTTTTCAAAAAAGGGGATACTTTCTGGACAATTCCTGGAATCCATAGATTTTTTTCTTATTATTGCATTGTCAATTACTAATCTCTTTTGATTGCAGCCTGCATGTTTTCAACATTCTCAGGTGCTTTGCAAATTGAAAGCCTTCAAGAATGTAGATTTCTTTCAATGGTTTCCTGTCAGTACCAAAATTTTATCAGGATTTTGCTCACTGAATAATTCCTGAAGCCTTATTACACACTTGTTATGATAAATAAATTCTCAAGTTTCAATCAAAACTTGATCTATAGTCTTTATGAATATGATGGTCACAGAGTATATATGCTCACTCAGAGGTGTCTCACTATCACGGAAGTGTGTTTCTGCAACCATAATAAACACTATTTTAATTGGTTGCTAATGGTCCAAGATATATATATATATATATATAAACAAACTCTAAATCAAGCACATTGCATGTAAACCGTCCATCAATCAATAAGTATTGACTAATCATTCTGACACAAGGCTACAAATAAAGAGCACCCAATAAAAATTGAACAGTAGTAATTGTTTTTGAGGTCCCAATTAAGCTACACCAATTTTTTCTGACTTACAGTGCACTTTAGGACATATAAGAATATTTTGGTGCACTTTGTATATAAACCTCACATGGCCAACTATACAGCTGTGAGCTTGTTACACTGCAGAGACTCAGTTCGCACTGTTTTCACGTACTTGTTACACAGCCTCCAACTTAACAACAATGAAAGTGGAATCAAGCATCTTCTTCATTTGTAACTGATAGTTATATACAAACTTTATTATGAAGTCAACTTCCACTAAAAAATTAAGATAAAATTAAATACTATTCAAAAATCAATAATAACATTGGCTGGCAATGCTTTATGCAATAAAAGAATGAAATAAAAATAATATTAGTTCTATCAATACTACTAGTATAAAAGCAAAAACACATATGAAATGAGAAATTTGGGAATAGAGTGATAAGTTATGAGTTAGATCTGATCTTCTGCAAAGCCATCAAGTTTTTATAGCCTAATAGTTAAAGCATCTGGTGCATTCAACCAGGTTTCCCAGTGGCAAAAAGAGTGTGAGTTTGGATCTCATTGAGAGTTTATATTTTATTTCCAATCCTACACAGTTTACTCAATTCTGTAGAATTGAAGGCCTGAGTAAAGTTGCAATTAAAAGCAACTAAAAATTAAAACAAAAGAAAAATTATAAATCAAACTTCATAATGAAATAAATCAGGATAAAAGTCAATAATTATAAATCAATAATTTTTAAAATTTCAAATTGAGAACCTGATGTCTCTTCAGTATGATCAATCAGTGCAATTTCATAATAAAGATCAATTCTTATAAAATCCAATCTTCTGTCTAGAATTCATAACACATTCTTTTTATCATAAAGGACAGACTAAGTTTCCTTTTCTTTAACCTTTCCAGTAAATTTTTTTAAAAATTTAATTTTAAAATCTAAAATTAATACAATGAATAAAATGTTCAATTAAAATTTTTAAAATTTCAGATAAAAAGAAAAAAAACTCCATGTTAGTTTAACATATTGCATTTAATATGAATTCAAATTATTTCTAAACTTTAAATTCATTAATAAAATAGATTAAAAAAGAGAATAAATCATTTTTGACAAAATATATCTATAAACATGTAAATAAAGTACTGAATCAAATGTCTTCAAAACAAGCCATATTTCAAAGAAGCTCGAAAATATCTGAATATTTTAATTATATTTTATCTATCAGTTCCACATTGGATTATTTCAGAATAATTTCATTTTACTTCAGAATACAAAAATGACAGAATTAATTTTGAGATCCTTAACAAATACCTACACATTCCATCCAAACACATTAGATGATAAACTTGTAAAAAATGTCCAAATTGAAACATGTTTTAAACTGGACCAAAAAGGAAACATTGATGAATTTGTACAGGAGTTACATTCAAATATAGATATCGACAGATATGAACCGAATGCGATTGATAGATAGATAGACAGATATGAACCGAGTATGATAGATAGATAGATAGATAGATTGATAGATATGAACCAAATGTGATAGTTAGATGGGTGATTATGAACCTAATGTGGTAGGTAGATGGATATGAGCCGAATGTGGTAGGTAGATGGATACGAGCCGAACGTGGTAGGTAGATGGGTATGAACCAAAAGTGGTACATAGATGGGTATGAACCGAACGTGGTACATAGATGGGTATGAACCAAACGTGGTACATAGATGGGTATGAACCGAACGTGGTACGTAGAAGGGTATGAACCAAACATGATAGGTAGATGCGTATGAACCAAACATGATAGGTAGATGCGTATGAACCAAACATGATAGGTAGATGCGTATGAACCAAACATGATAGGTAGATGCGTATGAACCAAACATGATAGGTAGATGCGTATGAAACAAAATTTGAGTATTTTGAATGAAAAATGAAAATAATTTTATTTTGATCTAAAACTTATATATACTCAAATTTTAGGAAAAAATTACACAACAATATCGCAAATGTGAGTAAATGTGATCATATTTAAACAGAACGCTGATCTTATAAAAGATTTCTGTTATCTGTTTGATTGGTATTGCTTTTATGTCCATTGTCTTTTCATGTTGAATTGTATATGGTCTATGTTAATTATGTTTTATGAATATGTTCTGAAGATGGTCTATTAGACTGAAACATCCGACGTTGACATTAAAACAGCATAATCGCATATTAGGATTTTTGTTTGTTTTTTCAGTATATTTTCTTCATATATATATATATATATATATATATATGTGTGTGTGTGTGTATGTATGCTGTGTGTGTGTGTGTTTTATTTAAAAGTAGAATAGAAAAGTAATACTCATAAGGTTTGTTTCTCTTAGTGTCAAACAAATGAAGCTTGTAAAAGAAATTGCCAAAATTTAATTCTAAAATCAACAACTTTTCATTGGTTTTGGGGCAGAAAAAAAGATTTAAAGTTCAGAAACTGCCAGCATGATGTTTGTACAGATGTCAGCTTAAAGTTTGACATGAATGTGAGTCCATATGGTATGACTATGAAATAAAATTTACCATCAACCAACAAATATAACTTCACTGTTTCAAAGTAGTTTAACAAATTAAAAAAAAATTATCATTTTATTGATCAACTTTTCCAAATTACGATAATCCTTCTCAGATAAAGAGGAAATTGTCAGAAATTGTCCAAAGCTCATCTTGAAAGAAATATGTTCCAAGCTTTTAAATGGTGAGTTTTGTAAATGAAAGACAAAAGCTTTGGCAAAGTCAATCAATAAAATTAATTGACACAAAATGTCTGTTGCATTTAATAACATTTGCCTTTGAATATTTTTTAAATACACACATATATATATATATATATATATATATATATATATATATATATATATATAAAATCTTCTATTATCACAGTATCGATGAATACCTATTAACAAATACAAAGAAAAACTAAATGAATTTGGTTAGATATAAAAAACAAAAAAAAAAAAAATTCCAAAAATCACCCCACACTCCTCGTTTGTTTGCATATGTAGTTTCATCAACAAATTTAGTCAAAAAATCCTGAAAAATGAAATCTGTTACAAGTAAAGTTTTTCCACTTTGTCATACAATTTCCCCTATACACACACACACACTACAGTTCAGTTCATTTCAAAAGTTTGAAGAAACTCCCTAGAATTAGAATTGGGGTGAACTTGACAGAAGAGTGAAAAAAAAAATTAAAAATTAAAAAAAAAAAAAGAAAAAGAGCTCTTAGAGTCATTGAAAAAAGAATGGAATCAATTATCAAACTTATACTTTGAGAAACTTTTGCAATGAATGCCAAAAATTTGTACTGAAGTAATCAAAAGTAAAGAAGTATATTTTGCGGAGTGCAAAATTTAAACATGAAATACTTTTTTCTTTTTTTCATAATAAAATATCTAATAAAAAATCATGTCTCACTTTTTTTAAAAGTGTATAATATTTTTTTCTTATGTAAAGTACAAAACAACTACTTTGGGGGACTAATTTAAAAAATTACCTGGAGTGTTCTCTATATATATATATGCATGTGTGTGTGTGTGTATGTGTGTGTGTATGTGCATGAATGTAAGATGCTCTGAAATCTTCCAGTACCCACATTTTAGAAAAAAATAATGATGAGGTGGTAGAAACTAATAAAAACATCATATTTAAACAGTTTTGCCACCAAAACGTTACACAAACTAGAAAAATGAAATAAACATTAAGCAGACCTTGTCAGTTAACTTTAACAAAATTTATTTAAATGAATTCTTGATGCCTCAGTTTGACATATATGTGTGAGTGTATGTGTGTGCATTATTTAAACTTATGAAGACTTACCAACTTAGATATGCAACATACTTGTTCTAAACACAAATACATGCCTATAAATATAAAAAATGTTTACAAGTAACAGAAGCCCTTATTAATAAAACGCTAAAATAAAAGCAACCATTAGCGCCATCAACTATGAACATGGCCATATGTACTGGCTGTTTTCATTCCTATACACCCCACACTCTCACTCTTGTATGTGAGTGTCTATAGTATATATATATATATATATATATATATATATATATATGATAAAAATGAAAATATAGTTTTAAGTTATGCTATATTTATGGGTTAAAATATCAGGGATAGAGATATATATAAAAGTGAACATTGAAGTTAACAACCAGCAGCAACAGTTTGCTTCACGTTGAAACACGAGAGAGAGAGAGAGAGACATGAGAGACAAGGAAATAGGAAAAGAGTAAAGGAGAGACAAGGAAATAGGAAAAGAGTAAAGGAGAGACAAGGATAAAAAAGAAAGAGTAAAGGAGAGACAAGGAAAAGAGAGACATGAGAGACAAGGAAATAGGAAAAGAGTAAAGAAGAGACAAGGAAATAGGAAAAGAGTAAAGGAGAGACAAGGATAAAAAAGAGTAAAGGAGAGACAAGGATAAAAAAGAAAGAGTAAAGGAGAGACAAGGAAAAAGGAAGAGTAAAGGAGAGACAAGGGAAAAGGAAGAGTAAAGGAGAGACAAGGAAATAGGAAAAAAAGAGTAAAGGAGAGACAAGGATAAAAAAGAGTAAAAGAGAGACAAGGATAAAAAAGAAAGAGTAAAGGAGAGACAAGGATAAAAAAGAGTAAAGGAGAGACAAGGATAAAAAAAAGAGTAAAGGAGAGACAAGGATAAAAAAAAAAGAGCAAAAAAAAGGAGAGACAAGGAAAAAGGAGGAGTAAAGGAGAGACAAGGATAAAAAAGAAAGAGTAAAGGAGAGACAAGGAAAAGAGAGACATGAGAGACAAGGAAATAGGAAAAGAGTAAAGAAGAGACAAGGAAATAGGAAAAGAGTAAAGGAGAGACAAGGATAAAAAAGAGTAAAGGAGAGACAAGGATAAAAAAGAAAGAGTAAAGGAGAGACAAGGAAATAGGAAAAAAAGAGTAAAGGAGAGACAAGGATAAAAAAGAGTAAAGGAGAGACAAGGATAAAAAAGAAAGAGTAAAGGAGAGACAATGATAAAAAAGAGTAAAGAAGAGACAAGGATAAAAAAGAGTAAAGGAGAGACAAGGATAAAAAAGAAAGAGTAAAGGAGAGACAAGGAAAAAGGAGGAGTAAAGGAGAGACAAGGATAAAAAAAAGAGTAAAGGAGAGACAAGGAAAAGAGAGACATGAGAGACAAGGAAATAGGAAAAGAGTAAAGAAGAGACAAGGAAATAGGAAAAGAGTAAAGGAGAGACAAGGATAAAAAAGAAAGAGTAAAGGAGAGACAAGGAAAAAGGAGGAGTAAAGGAGAGACAAGGATAAAAAAGAAAGAGTAAAGGAGAGACAAGGAAAAGAGAGACATGAGAGACAAGGAAATAGGAAAAGAGTAAAGGAGAGACAAGGAAATAGGAAAAGAGTAAAGGAGAGACAAGGAAAAAAAAAAAAGAGAAAAAGGAGAGACAAGGATAAAAAAAAAAGGAGAAAAGGAAAAAAGGAGAGACAAGGACAAAAAAAAAGAAAAGAGTAAAGGAGAGACAAGAAAAAAGAGAGACATGAGAGACAAGGAAATAGGAAAAGAGTAAAGGAGAGACAAGGAAATAGGAAAAAAAAAAGGAGAGACAAGGATAAAAAAGAAAGAGTAAAGGAGAAACAAGGAAAAAGGAGGAGTAAAGGAGAGACAAGGATAAAAAAGAAAGAGTAAAGGAGAGACAAGGAAAAGAGAGACATGAGAGACAAGGAAATAGGAAAAGAGTAAAGGAGAGACAAGGAAATAGGAAAAGAGTAAAGGAGAGACAAGGATAAAAAAGAGTAAAGGAGAGACAAGGATAAAAAAGAAAGAGTAAAGGAGAGACAAGGAAAAAGGAGGGTGAAAGGAGAGACAAGGATAAAAAAAAGAAAGAAAAAAGGAGAGACAAGGAAAAGAGAGACATGAGACAAGGAAATAGGGAAAAGAGGAAAAAAGGAGAGACAAGGAAATAGGAAAAAGAGTAAAGGAGAGACAAGGATAAAAAAGAAAGAGTAAAGGAGAGACAAGGATAAAAAAGAAAGAGTAAAGGAGAGACAAGGATAAAAAAGAAAGAGTAAAGGAGAGAAAGAGAGCAAGAGAATACTGCAGTTGAACTGTGAATATTAATTTCATGGAAGGAACCATAATCGCATTGGAGCAGCCCTTTAAATATACCCACCTCCCCTGCTGATCAGCATGCAGTCAGTTTGTTAGAAAAGGGTGGGGCAGAGAGATTTTATAGCAAAAGTGAAATGTAGCAGAGACAGAGGCAACGGTGATGGTGGCAGTGCCGGCACCATCAGTCGGCTGCTTGTGACCAATCGATATTTGGAGACCTTCCGACATTCATCCTACGCATGGTCATGCGCGGAGAGAATGACCTGAAACCATAAGCCACAGTTCAACGATAGGCAGGTCTAGTTGACGTAGCAGATCAACTGATGTGTAAAGGTTGGAAAAGAGCAAACAAGAATCAACAAACGAGAAAAGGCATTATGTAAACACATTGTTTGATATATATTAGAAAGATTAGGCATGGAATTACAAATATATTTTATATCTAGTTCAAAAAAATTAAGGAGAATGTTGCGTGGGATTTGTTTGAATCTTTATTTTCTAAGTTAAAAACTAAATAAAAAAAATGTCTAATAGTAAAATCATATCAGTAATATAAAAATTCCTGTTTCATTTATTTTGTGCAGGAAAAAGAAGAGAGGAGAGAGAGTGGAAAAGAGGAGGAGAGAGAGTGGAAAAGAGGAGGAAAAGGGAGTGGATAAGAGGAGGAGAGAGAGAGGAAATGGAGAAGGAAAAGGGAGTGGATAAGAGAAGAGGCAAAAGTAAAACGGGGAGAAAAGAAAGAGAGGGAAGACGGAAAGAGAGGGGAAAAGACAGAAAGAGAGGAGAAAAGAGGGAAAGGGAGGGGAAAAGACGGAAAGAGAGGGGAAAAGACAGAGAAAAGACAGAAAGAGAGGGGAAAGGCAGAAAAAGAGGGGAAAGACAAAAAGAGAGGGGAGAGACGGAAAAGAAGGAATAAAAGAAATGCCTAAAAACCATACAACAGGTTGACCCAAGCCTCGTGATATGAAATTGCATGGAGAAAACTCTTCAGAAATTGTTTAAGGTTGTGCTAGCAGAAAGTTACAAGTCATCATGACAGAGGGTTTCAGTATACTGGTCTTGTTCAAACAATTGATCATGCAAGATTATGTGCTTTCACCTAGAAATTATAACTAAAGTCCACTCACCAAAATGGAAGTATGTGAGGTTTTGAGGATGTTGAATAAAAATGTACCCATGCATGCATCTACAACAGGGATTGGTTAGTAGATTTAACAGGCAGGTGTGCTGTCATAACGTTCATATACAGCACCAAAAAGATCTAAAGACCACATTTCACATATTTCAACAAACTGTAATGAATGTACACAAATATGCAGAAAATATTCATATACACAATCGATGTACATATTCATTACAAAGTTACCCATAAAGGTTGATCATAGTGATTCAAATTTACTCTCACAGGCCATTTATAAGTACAATAAGTTTCATCCTCACTAGGTGCATTACTATTATGGCTTTAATCTAGATTAGTATGTAGGGGTAGTCTCATGGTTATCAGCATGGGATGTGGCATTGGCAAGCGGAGTTCAAGTTCAGTCTTCATTTGTTGTTGACATTATTTTAATGTCTTTGGGAAAGGCATGAAGTCATCTCTTTTCTCTCTGAGAGCTAAGATTATCAGGCTGGGTAGACTGAGCTCTGTGTATGTACATACAGACAAAAGTTCTTGAATGACAAAATAGGATTTCCAAAAAACTGTAAGGTTTAGTCATTTGGCAACATACTTGTGTGTATATATATATATATATATATATATATATATATATATATATATATATATATATATATATATATATATATATATATATATATATATATATTGAATAAGAAAATCTATATAAATTTAACAGAAATTCAGGGAGTGTCATCTGATAAAACTAAAGAAATTGCGAAATGTAAAGTTTTCATACTTGTTACTTAGTGAATTGTCAGGCATAAGTTTGATCAGTCTAACTAAGAAATTATTCTTTCAAAAAAATTTTTTTTTTAAATTATTTGGTCATTTTATCAGACTTTATCAAGTGGGTGAGAATGAAAAACCTTTCAGTACCCCTAGTGTGTGTGTGTGTGTGTATATATATATATATATATATATATATATATATATATATATGTGTGTGTGTGTGTGTGTGTGTGTGTGCTTACATATATACAGTGAGATACTCAAACAGGATACAAAAGTATGATAGAATATGTTGCCTGTGATTAAATTTCATCTTTTCATAAAAGCTACAAGAATGTTCAATAGATGAATGTTCTGTACATGTTTAACGAAATGTGTATCTCTCGCTCTCTCTCTCTCTCTCACACACACACACACACACAAGTCTGATGGATTGGTAAGTGCAAGGTATGTGTCTCCTTGAATGGTGTGTATGGAATGTATTGTGGCCAATGGAACGAAGGAAAGCACAAAATAATACATACAGCTGCTACACCAAAAGAGACCATCTGCTCCTCATCACACCTCCCCCCCACCATATCTATCCATATCGGACATCACTCTCTCTCTCTCTCTCTCTCTCTCTCTGAGTTGAATAAAAGAAATAAAGAGGGAGAGGTGGATGAAAAAAAAAAAAATCCAAGTGAAATAAATGCAACATAATACCAAGCAAACATCATTCAGCTTGATTTCATTTTAGCAAGCGTTAGCTTCGACTACTCAATTTACTTTCTACATCTTCTTTACAACTACGGCTTTTCTACGTCTGTTCATAGAAAAACATCCAGCCTTATCCATCTTCCAAGTGAAGACACCACCACCAACACCATCATCATCATCATGGATGTCATTACTGGACTCAATAACAACACTTATTCCCTCCACCTCTGGCAACCACCAAGCCATGAAACCAACAACAACAATAACAACTAAGCCACGCAGGTGTGTTCTGACGTCTACACAGACAAAATACAGTTAATTATATGTAGAGACAAGATGAAAAAAGCGAGAACTATGTTTTGTACGTAAACTCATCCATTTCTTGCTTTTAAATATGTTTACACATGCATATATATATATATATATATATATATGTGTGTGTGTGTGTGTGTGTGTGTGTCTCTATGTGCATGACAAAATCTGGCACAAGATCCCAAATTTGGAGCAATCAAAAGAATTGAATTCATTTCATGTCTGTAATGGTCTGCTTGACTAACTTTTTGCAAGCCATGTTCACATAAATAAAAAATGCACACACACACACACACATATATATATATATATATATATATATATATATATAGATATAAATATATAATATTATACTTATTTTATTTTTAAAATTATGATTTTTAAAAAAGAAAGTAATTATAATATTTTGCTCTACTGTTTTGTACCGAGTACTGTTTTTTTAAATAAAAATAAAAATAACTGCCAAGAACATCAGATTATAAATCTTACTGTTTTTCTTATTTTTATATATATATATATATATATATATATATATATATATATATATATATATATATATATATATGTACGTCAATGTTATTAAAAACACTTATAGCATAATATACGGGTCTCTGAGAAACTTTCAGGCATTACTGTCAGTTTTATGAAACTGGCAATAATGCTTAGACTGAGTCTGAGTGTCTCTCTTTCTCTCTCTCTCATATATATACATATAGATATAATAGAAGGAGGCTATGCAATGAAAAGTTCCTATCTTGAACAAGAAGCCCTTCAATAACAAAAAAAGAAGATCTGTTGTTTGGCCAGATTTCAGGAAGTGGGTTGAACCTAGAATATTTTAGAATGCCTGTGTGTGCATGACAGAAAGAGAGTTAAAGAGAGATGTAGAGAGAAAAAAAGAGAGAGAGGGGGGTTTATAGAAAGAAATGCAAATATATGTAAAAAAAAAAAATTTAAAAAGATGAGAAAGAGGAATACTAATAGCAAGTAAAGTAAGTGATAAATCATAGATGAAGAATGACCAATACCTGTGACTATTGTCATAAGAAAAATTAAAAGAAAAGGACAAAAAAAAAAAAAGATTAAAAAGAAAAAGACAGAGAGAACCTTACCAGATGAATTATAAGAAAGATGAAAATGAAGGAAAACAAAACCAAAGAACCATGACAGTAAAATCCCAAACATGGAATGAACAGCAATTTGAAAACACACCAACCACCAACAAGTACCAAAAGCCACCACCACCACCTGTTTGAAAGTCAATATTTTGTTGGGCATTTGAAGACAAAATTATTCACCGCTTTTTCTTTTTTCTGACAAATGAGTAAGCTCATTAAATAGCATCAGCACTAAGCTCTCTTTATGTTTACAAATGTGTGTGTGTGTGTGTGTGTGTGTGTGTGTGTGCACGCAGACATGTAGGATTATTACAAATATAAAAGGTGTCTCTTAGCTGATTGATGTTATATTTAGCATTCCAACCCTAGAATTTTGTAATCAAACCTTTCTGTAAGTGTTGGGTCCACTCCTCAGGAGGTATCAGTGTGTTTGTGTGTATATGCGTGTGTGTCAGAGAGAGAGAGAGAGAGAGACACACAGAGAGAGACACAGAGAGATGGTGATGAAAAGGCCTTGGTTGAACCCACTTCCCAAAATTGGTATTTCAATGACCAAACATACAGAAATATAACATTGAGATCAACACCCTGCAGTGACATTCTGTTTCATGCTTAAATGCAATCTTCAGGCTTGAAGATTGTGTTTAAGCATGGAACAAACAGTTGCTGATGGGTGTTGAACTCAGTGTCCACTTTTATATTTACATACGCTCTATCCCTGATATTAAGCACTTTAACTCATAATTATAGAATACCTTAAAACTATATTTTTTATATATATATATATATATATGATATGTATGTATAATAAATATTTTTTATATATATATATATATATATATATATATATATATATATATATATACGTATGTATAATAAATATTTTATCATATATATATATATATATATATATATATATATATATATGTATAATATAATAAATATTTATATATATATATATATATATATATATATATATATACGTATGT